TCGAATCTCTGTAACCCATCTTTCCCATTTTCATTGTCTAACTCCCATGTACTTCTTTACATTTTCTTGGTGCTGTTTTGTATATTTTTTCTCGTTGGAGGATACCATCTTTGAAGTGACCTTTGTCTTTCCATATTTTATGATAATTTCTTTGCAAATCCTTTTTTGTCGTTTGGACTTCTATCCTTGATGATTTTCCTCAACATCACTAGATGAGTCTGTAACATCATTGTCTTTTATGTAAATACATACAACACATAGCAAGGCCACAGAACAATCGCCCATTAGATTAGTTTTTTTCCTCTAACTTTTGAGGGATTTTTGATTACCTCATTTTCGTGAAGCTCATCTCTGGAAGCCATTGCTTCAGGAAAGAGAACAAACAAAAAAACAACAATAATTCCATTAAAACAGTCTTGTATATATTCTTAATCGATAGTCAAATTATTTTTATTTATGTACTCTATATGTCAACTTGATTATCAAATTTTGATCTAGCACATAAAGTTTCAGACTTTACTCATTATTATGAACTCAATTAGTTACCTATCTATTACCCACCAATTAATTGAATATAGTTATCGAATAGTTCAAAAAATTTTACCAACTTTCCCGACAAATCATAAATGACCCATGTCTCATGAAAGGATGTCGCTGACAATAAATTCATGTTCAAGTGACTCTAGCACTTTGTACTTTTTAGAACAAAAATGGTAGGTTAGGTGAGTACAGATCTTTCACCACAAATATACCTATTTGACTTATATCACCTTACCTTTAACCTCAAAGACCTATTCATTCAACATTCTTGACTACAAGCCTTACTTCCAAGCCCATAATCATCAATTACCCCTAGATTTTGAGGCATTCTAATCACATTCTCTAAAACCATGTGAATCTAGTCATAATTCATCAAAAGGTTCAAATTTTTTGCTTTACAAGTCAAGATCAATCATACATAATCAAGTCTAGTTTAATTCATCTCTATATGTTCCCAATCTTGAACCATTACTACACATGACATTAATTAGAAGATCAATTCTAATTTTTCAATTTCACCTTTTCTGGCATAAACTCCCAAATTATAATTTCATGAAATAGAGTAGGGTTTAACATTTAAATAACATAAATTAATCATAATAAGATAATTTAATGCCAATTCAATCATAATTAAGTATCAACTTGATTGGAATCAAAGTTTAACATTACTCACACTGTAGGAAGAAACCCTAGCTGGAATTGTGTTTTTATTTCACAATGGGGGGAAAACTATGGGGATATATGGGTGGAAGAATCATATATGATTTAGAAAAAAATACCTTAATTAAAATTCCTAAGACATGATTGAAACAATGGAGGGAATCTGCCCGTCTTAGTTCTCTTCTTCTACACTTCTAGAGAGTGAATAATTTGGATAGAATTTGGGCTCATTTTGATGTCTTCGAAGAATGATTTAAGTCACTTATTTTAGGGGTCTATTATTCATATATTGGTGGTTTAATAAAATACTAAGCGATCTACCCTAACCCCTAACTAATTTCCAATTAACCCCTAAGCCCTCAACTTAAAAACTAAACTCTAAATTTGACCCCACTCACAAAACCCCCATCCACGGACTGTGGATGGGTCTACGGATCATGCTACACCCTAGTGGGTGGTGAAATGAAGCTAAAAATTGCAGAAAAAGTGTAGGACTTGGCCTATGACCCCAACCCACGGGCGTGGGTCCATCTACTAGTCGTAGGTTGTTGTTTTTTGACAGCTTTTGGAGTTGTTCCAAGGGTCCTCCTCAAGGACCCCTTCGGTAGTCCTTGGTGATCATACCTTGACGAACTAACTCTAAAACCCTCATTCTAAGTAGAGGAATAATTTTTACGATTTTAACAATCATACCAAACTGTAAAACTCTAGAACAAGACTCTAGAACTTTCTTGTTTAGTTTGCTAGTTTTTGAGACATAACAATATCTCCCCCATGGGATCATTCATCCTTGAATGATGATTCTAAACACTTATTTAGATCATCCCTCTAAACTTACAGCCTATCATGTATGCAATACGTCTAAATGCACACAATCAAGGAAGAAAATTTTAATTCCAAGATAAACATATTTAATGCAACACAAGGGAGTAGGAACTACTTCTAACAACTCAAAATGTGTGAACTTCTACATTTACTCATTTAAAAGAGGAACTACATTCTCTTAACTAAAACATGATCAACACACACTCATGGATCCTAAATGCAATTTACTCTCAAAAAGCCTTTATTAAAGGAGGAATCCTTCAACTCCTAACTGAGGTATGTTAATTAGTTCATCACATGAAGTTTATATGCAATTCCACTCAAATACACCACAACATGAGGCAAAACAATGTATATAAGTCTTTTCTATGAACACCTAAGATTTTTCATGAACATGCACATAAGGGAATCATGACAATGATAAACACACTATAACCTTAGTTTTTTGGCACATTATCTTCCCCTTGGGAGTAATCCTATATAATCACTTCTATACATCATTTATGATAAAATTAACTTCAAGGTCCAATATAACAAGTCACAAAAGGCAAGAAATCCACAAATTAATAAAGCATAAATACCATACTGGAGGTAACATGAGGAGATTATTCTTGATCTTCTCTAGATTGGAGATCATAAAACTTATTTTCTTAAGACCACTCTCATCTGGACCACTAGAGGCAACTATATTATCTTCCCTTCCCTTACCCTTAAAAATTAGGCAATCTCTAATTTTGTTTGCATCCTTTCCACACCCATGTCAACCATCTATGCAAGTTAAGAACTTACTGATGAGTCCAAAATTTCTACTCATTAGGGATTATTTTAATAGATTTAGTGTCTTCAAAGACATATTTTGTATCAATGTAAATCCTTGCATTTCATGTATTTGGATTGAGGAATAAAGCATGAACATTACTGAGCGCAAACGAATAATACAGCCGAAAGAATAAAGAAAATAAGGCCTAAAAGTCTCCAAATGGACATGGTCTCACCTAAAGTTCTAGTGTGCAAAGCCCTCAAGGAGAAAATCAAGTCAGCGATAGAAAAGAGTAGTTGGCGTGTCGCCGAGCGGTTCCACGATACAGTCGCAAAAAGTTATAGATTAAAAGATACTGAAGGTCAAAGCAAAAAGGCGATGGAATTGACCAAAGGACTGGTCACCAAGTGGACCGGCGATCCCAATTGATTGAGCCAAATGATCCTTCACAACATATTTTTGGCGACCATAAATACATTTTTTAGTTTTTAGTTTAGCATCGATTGATATATCGTTCAATCTAGGTTTCAATCTAGAATAAGAATTATCATCTTGGAAGTTTAGAACGGAGTTTTGAGACAATATTTCCCTTAGCTTTAAAGATTTGAAGATAATCATTTTTGAGAAATTGAAGTGGGTGTTGAAGATTCGTCAAATTAGACCTTTGTATAGAAAAAATAAATCTTACCTAGTTGATGGAAACACAATTTGGTAACAACTTCTATCTTTTTATGATATCTAGCTAAAACTCAAATTCTTAGGATGTGATTATGTGATTATCCGTTGATTTAGCTGGTGGGTATTGTTGATTGATAGTTTTATTGCTTTACGAGAAATTTTTGTCCTTACACATAAGAGATCTTCATTTTTAAATAGAAGAGATTTAAGATGGTTATTTTCTTCTATTCAAATTGTAATAGGGTGAGAGATGTGAGTTTTCAAATTTTTAAACTCACCGACTTGAATCATATATCCCTATAAAGAACTAGAAAACCATTTCTCCCAAACTCACTTAAAATCCTAGATTTTTCTTTTGTTAAGTTATTTCTCTAGAGTTTTAAATAGAAATTTTTCCACGCGATGAGGATGTCATAAATCCATCAATGAATTTCTTATAGTTCAATAGAAAAATCTTTAAAAAAAATCAAACCTAAAGTAGTTGAATCTATACATATGTAAGTTTTAAAATGTGTTTGTAGAAACAGACAAAGAAAAAAGGAAATGAGATCTCTTTGTCTACTTACAATTTGAATTTTTAAAAATGTCATTTTCAGATCTCTTATGTGTAGAAGTGAAAATTATATCTCCGCCATAGAAATTTCTATGTCACACATAGATAACACCAAAACTGTAACTTGTGGTCCAGAAAAGTAAAAAAAAAAACTCAAATTTGAGCATACCTTGAAAATAAAATTAAAAGGTCTCAAACAAATCATTAATTCTGATCTTTGTCTTTTCTTTAAATTTTTTGCATTTTATGGTCATTTATATAAATTAAACTTTAGTAATAACTGCTATATAGAAATGGTAAGAAATTAAAATGCAAATAATTGTACTTTTATACTTTGATTTTTTTTCCACTTGTCATTCTCATCCCTTATCATATAAGTGGACTACAAATTCAGAAATCAAAATTAATAATTCAATGAATATTCATACATGTGTCATTGAACTTTTTAAAAGGACTCATCTATGTTATCAGTTAAAAATTTAGCTCATCTATGTCATTTTCATTTGAAAAGAGACTCATCTATGTCTATATTTTTTAATGGAAAAAAGTTTCTATTATGCAAAATTATTTTTTACGCATGCTCAATTATGATTAAGCCATGTCATTGATTAAATTATTCTTTTTAAGATCAAAGAATAAAATATGTCATCGAACATTGAGAAAAGGTTCGTCAATGTCATCCGTTAATAGTTTGGATAATCTCTGTCATTTCAATTAACAAATAATGACGTGGATGAGCCTTTTCTCAAACAAAAATTGTTGACACCTAATTTTGGCCCAATATTTTAAAAATTTGTACCTTTTAAGCTTTATTTATTTGATGGTTCAAAGTATTTTTTTTATATAATTTTAAATAAGTTTATCAATAAATAGCCTTATTTATCAAAATTTTAATTTTTTTATTTGTTAATTTAAAATTGCATTATCGCATATTATTAGTCACGTTCATTATATTTTTTAAAATTCATTTTTATTTGTTACATTTCTTAATATTTATTTTATATTTTTTTACACATTCTAAAAGATCATTTAATACGGTCAAATTTTGCGTACAAAAGTTGAACAATGATTTTGAACTCAATCTTGAGCCCATGACTAGATCCATTATCAAACAATTTTCTATTTAAGAAATAATTAGCTCAAAATAGGGGGTGATGAAATTAATTTTAGAATTTGGGGGTTTTAATTATCAGATTTTTAACTCTTCTATAGTTCATTATCTTTCTGGCTCCGACCAGTCACCGCCAAAATGATACCTCACTGGGTCAACGTACCCCTCTTTTTTTCTTTCGTTTCTTCACTACCTATTCTCTTCTCCAAGAACACAACCACACCACCAAAACGCCCTTTGCGATTTTCTCTCTTTTCCGGCGAAATCACACAGATCTTCCTCCCTTTCTCCATTTCCGGTAAGCTCCAAGATGGAAAAACAATCTCACCCATTTCCGACAAAAATCCCTGCCAGAACCTCGACCAAACAACCCCAAATCGCTACCACTTTTCGAACCAGTGAACAACAACAAAGCAGACCCCCATTTCCCCTTTCCTCAACTCAGCAGACAAAAACCGATCACACCACTACAAAAACCCTTTTGATTCTTTTCCTTTTATTTCCGGTGAGCAGCAGCGGCCACTTCTTGAACAAAGCAGCTCCGGTGAACTGGAGCAAAGAAGAAGAGAACGCCAGCTCCCTTTGCCCTTGTCCCTTTTTGATCTTTTGTTCTTTTGTTTGTTTCACAGGTGTATCAGCTCCGACATCCAATGCTGGAGAACACCAGCTCCGACAACTTCAATAAATGTCCGAATCTGGCCCAAAAAGACTTACCACTGGTGACCATTTTTCATTCACTTCCTCAGGTAATCAGCTTTTATTTGCTTTTGTTTTATTCAAATTAAAAATTATTCGGCTATTTTTAGTATTGTTCCTTAGTTTACATCTTTGGTAATGGCTAATATGAGCATTTTTTCATTTTGTATTGTGTTTGATTTATCATTATTTCGATGTAGTAGGTTTTATTGCTGCCATTAATTTAACATTAATTTCGTTTTAGTTTTTATTATTTTACTTTAGTTTTTGGCTTGACTAATATAATATTTTATTTTACTATTTTTATAGGGGAAAATTGTCAATATACCTTGTGTGATTTACTCATTGTTGTTCCAATTATTAATGGCTTTATTTTGTTAACTATTGTTTCATTATTTTATCATTTCTATTGCTTCTAATTAATGTTGTTAGTGAATTAGAGTTTATTTAGTTTAACGAATTTTATACTATTAGTTGTCAACTTTCTTATACTATTACATCAATTTATTGATTGAATGCCATTCTTTAGATTCTTTTCTTTTTTCAATTTCTAATAACTAAGTAATTCTCATCATTATTGTTTGATTATGTTCATATCATTTGGCTGTTGCACTTTACCTTAAATTACTTCATGTTTTTAAATAATTTTGTCTGCAAGTTAAAAATGATCAACAAAAAATATCTCCTTCGGTTTCGGAGGTTTGTCTAACGAGATTATTGTTATTTTGATGAAGTGTTGATTCTCTTGTTGTTTTGTTTTTATATATTTTAGACCTGGATAGGGCTACCATTATACTATGGTATTTGAGTCTTGCATTTATTCTTGTGTTATCAATATAGATTTTTTTATGGTTTCATTTTATTATTTTTTTCAACTTATTAATTATTTAATCCTGTTATTATTTTTGCTGAAATTGAGTTGACTTATTTTATTATTATTTTTTTTAAAATAAACGTTTGGTCCAGTAAATTTAATGTCATTCGAATTAATATTGATTTTATTATTTTCATATTCTTCCTTGCTACTTCTAACATCACCGTTGATAAATTGTCATTATATACTATTTTAAATTTAATCTATAATGTGTTACTTTGTTTCTTTTTGACGTTAATTGATATGGTCTAATTTTCGTCATTTTAATATGTTGAGCTTTACATTAATCACAAGTTAAAATTGGTCAATGAAAAGAAAAAAAAATTCGTAGGTTTTGGAGGCCTTTCCATTTTAAAAAATGGAAATTTAATTAAGTTTATATTATTTAATTGTTAAAATGGCGGATGAAGAAATTATTGTCGATTTCCAAGGCCTCATGTTAATAATAAGGAATTTTATTTTTAAGTTATTATTTGAGTTATTTTTATTCTTGTTTATTTAAACTAACACTTTTACTAAGTGTCTTAACAGGTACCCAAAGATGTTTTTCCAATGGAGTTATTTGAACGAAGTTCAAATCATATTATTTTATTATTTATTATGTATATTATCGACGTTAGGCAAATTTTAGGTTGTGTCGTATATTATTATTTTATTTTATTATTTATGTATGCTGCATGTTATTAGACTTGTATATTTTTTTAATCACCTCCTGAATTTGAAAAAAAACGAATTCAGTCGGGATCCACATTTGTGGATTTCGAAGGGTGCTTAATACTTTCCCTTCGAAATAACTTGGAACCCTTACCTAGAACTAATTGTTTCTAAAATCACTCCAAAGGGTTTCCTAGTTTTCTTAAAATTAGGTGGCGACTCCTTTTTATAATTCGTTTATTATTAAATTTCTTTAAAAAAATCAATTAATTATTTTTTGAGTCACCATTACCTTTTGCCCTATTTTAATAGCGTAGGGATGTAAACAGAAATAACGTAGATGAGCTTAACTTTTGATTAATGACATAAATAAGTCTTCTCTAAAAGTGTGACGGCATATTTGGGCCTTTTTTCGTTACTAGATAACACTTGCAATTTTAATTTTGTTACCAAATTTCATCAGAGTTATCTTAGCATATAATCTTCCTATATAAGGCAATTGTAGTATCAATATGGGGTAAATTTCACATATGATCACGTAACTATCAAATTGACGCATTTCACGCATGACTTTTATTATAGAGATGTATAACTATAATAACGAGGTTACTATCTCCCTCGACACAGTAACAACAGTCAAGTATCCAAATGAAAGGTAAGAAAAAAAGAAACTGGAAGCATAAGCTCAATCAACAAAAGAAAGTTAATCTTGATTGGGTTGTTTTTCTTTAGTGGTGGCTTCAGGATATTTGTAAAGCATTGACACCTGTTATTTCAATGGTTGCCTTGTCATAAGCCAAAGCCGCTTCTAAAGCAGTGTCAAAAGTTCCCAACCAAAGCCGAGTTCTCTTTCTTGTGTCTCAAATCTCTGGTGCCCAGTTGCCTCATTTTCACTGTCTAACCCTCATGTACTTATTCACATCTTCTTGCATCAAATGTGAATCTTTCTTCTCTTTGGACTTCTTCTTTTAATTGACCTTGGTCCTTTCATTATTGATGGTGATTTCTGTTACATGAGTCCTTTCATGTCCCTTAGACTTCTCTTCTTCATCCTTATCCTCCTAGTCTCTAGGCGAATCTGTTGTGTCATGGTCCGGTACGTGAATACCTACAAGACGCGGAAAGACTTGGGAAATTTTTCCCACTTGATTGCTGAATTTTTCGACTACGTCAATTAATGAAGGTTTTACGACTCCATCTTTTACCTGAAGCTCTTCCTTGGAGGCCACTTCTTCATGAAAAGGAAAAAAAAGTGCATCAAATTGAACATGCCTACACTTGATATATGATTAGAAATTCGTTTATCAATATGAGGTGATCGCACCCTATATCTCTTTAGAAAATTTTTGAAGAAATTCAAAGAAATCAGAAATAAAATTGCTCACTCTTAAGAAAAATGTAGTGCCTTTTGATTCAATGGCTGTCTTACCGTAAGCCAAAGCAACTTCTTCAGCAGTGTCAAAAGTGCCAAACAAAGTTGAGCTTTGTTTGTTGTGTGTAGGATTTCTTCTGCCCATATTTCCCATCTCTCAATTGACTAACTCCTTTGTACTTTTTCGTACTTTCTTGGAATAATTTTATATATTTCTCTCTTTGGACACTCCCTTTATCCCAAATTTTTTAATCAAAATTTTAAAAATCCATCCCAAACATCATACTTAACCGTATAAATCATTATTAAGAATAAAAATGTTTAGGTGATTTCAATGAAAAATCTGTGTTGGTCTATTCAATTAAATGAATTTGTTTCTATTGCCACGCCAAAATAAACCCAAAAATGTGTACCGTTTGATTATACTTGTCATATGATGACGTCTCTATTTACTTGATCATGTTTGAAACTAAAGCATAACTATTAATATTTTAAAAGAAAAATGGTATCACCTTAATCCATTTTAAAAATGAATTTACATTTAGTGAGAACTATACAAAATTAACCTAAACATGCAACTAATCTATTAATGAAGAAAATGAGTAACAATCTATGTTTGATATAAAACAACGTAATAAATAAGTTTGATCAAATTTCTATTTCAAGCTCCTCATGATATGTTAAGGGAGCAAAGAAGTAGTTGATTCATGTAAATAATTTAGCTTTTTAGAAAAAATTCAATGAAATATTTAGAAAAAATCAATCAATCACTTATTTTATGTAATATGTTGAAATCTAAAGAACATTTCTGTTACATTAGAAATATATTGTCTACACTTTTTAAAAACCCAAGGTTTATCTAGCAAAAGTAGCATTATTTAGATAATGTTCTTTAGAAAATTTTTACAAGAAAAACGACAAAAACAACTCCGAGTCATCAATACATAAATTATAGCTATCCATGTTCCACCAATTAATTAGTTTAACAACAAAAACAATATATATACAGTGTTATCCGCAAATAGAGTTTGGAGAGGGTAATAAAATATACATGGACCTTTCTTTTCATTTTGTGAAGAAAGATTATTTGCAATGATCCACGGCTCAAAATAAAAGTTATTAGGAAAAAGAAATTTCCATAAGAAAAAAAATGGCAGTCTAAAATTAAGATACAAAGCAAAATGAAGCAACAAATAATAAAAATTATATGCGATTACTAAATACTTCTGCTAATAAGGGAAGAAGATATGGGGCTCGCCCACTGCCTCTCCCACCAAAAGAAACTTTTTTACTTATAGTCGTGCCTTTGAACTACTAAAGTGCAGATTTTGAACTCATGGTTTCAAAGGTGAAATGGATAAATCTATCGAAAGTTGAAGCAATAAAGTAACTAACTATATCTGGAGCTGCATGCCTATTGTCTTATTAGTAGTGGATATGGTTTCTTTCCTTCAGTAGTAGCTCAACAAGATTTGTCAAAGCGCTAACACCTTTTACTTCAATAGCAATCTTGTTATAAACAAAAGCAGCTTCATCCGCAATACCAAAACTTCCCAACCAACATAGTTTATTCTTTCTTACATCTTGAATCGTGCACCTCATCTTCCCCATTTTCGTTGTCTAACTTCCCTATAGTTCTTTAGATTTTCTTGGTGTACTTTTGTATTTTTTTTTCTTTTTGGACGATATTGTCTTTAAAGTGACCTTGCCTTTTCCATTTATGAAGATAATTTCTTTACAAATTCTTTTATTTCATTTGGACTTCTCCCCTTGAAGATTTTCCTCCTTATCACTAAATGAATCTGTGGTGTCAATGTCAGTTATTTAAATACATACGACATGTGGCAAGACAAGTTACAACTAAACGTTCGCCTATTAATTTATTTTTTTCTCTGGAAGCTTAATTGTGAGGGGTTTTTGACCACCTCTTATCGGTGAAGTTCATATTTAAAAGTTATTGCTTCATGAAAGAGAATAAAAAAAATCACAAAAAGTCCATTAAATCAAGCATGTATATACACTTCATTATTAATCAAATTAATTTTATTTATGCACTCTCTTTGTACACTTGATTATCAAATTTGGACCTAGCACAAAGTTTTAGAAAATAAACAAACTTAAATTCAAACTCTCATTTATTTATCTTCTAGACTACCTTAAAAGCATCAACTCCTAAATGCATGTTGAATTATTATAGTACCCCCAATGAAAAATACTCAATATATTTTATTTATTAATTTAATTAATTGTATTAGGGTAAACCTAGATACCCGTTAATATTAAAGGGTGGTAATTTGTCAAAAAGATGTGACTTTTTCAAAGGGTTGTGACTTTTTTTGACGGGTTTTGAGAATTTTGATGAGTTGTGACTTCTCCGACTGGTTGTGATTTTTTTTCAAAGGGTTG